TCTTGGCATTTCTCTGACAATATTATCATACATTTAAAATATATACTGTGTGTAACTGCTTGTCTGTGATTTTTTAAGTACTTCATCCAGGATCAACAAAATCCGCTCTGAGAGACTCTTCAGATTTACTTTAAAATATACACACACAAACAGTTAATTATTCACAATATTAATAGTATTTTCTAGAAGTCTGATAAATACAGAAACAGGTCTTTGATTTAAATTTTGACAAGCAGGCGGGACGTTCAAACTTTTCCACTGAACCTTACAATGTTCAGACAATTTCTTAATTAAATAGAGTCCATACAGTTGATCAGTTTCATGTAATGCTCCCTGCAGCCCGTCCCCCTGAGGACAGGACATCGTCACCATCGAGGTTTTGTTTTTTATGAAAAGCATCACCTGTGCAACAAGTGAAACTCTGCTCTGGGGTGTGTCTCGTGCTACCATTGCTTTCTTTTTAATGATGAGCCAAGCCGTGCGCAGTTGTGTGTCGGTCTGACTCTGTGTGTGTGTGTGCGTGCACTCGCAGCAAAGGTTCTTTGTGGGTTCRCGTGTGTATTAGACCGAACTTCCACTGGCTGGCCCAGGCTTATGAAATGCATGATAAACTAAACACATACATTTGTTTGCCTCTGTGTCTCACAATAAGTCCTTCACTGGTTTGTTATATTTTGCACATTTGCCATCAAAACACACCACGAATCCAGCCAATGATTCACTTCCTCATGAACCTTTGAATCAGGTACCAAAGCAGTGACGTAAGTTCACCACTTTCGAAGCTTCGGACGTCACTGATCATGTGACTTTTACCAAATGAATCAAGCTCCGACACAGTGCTTCTGAAACAGTGTGTTGTTTTTTTTTTTCCAATACATGCGCTGAAGCTTCAGCTTCAAAATGCCCATCACTATTAAAAGGCCTGGGTCAGATTTTGGAAAAAACACACGCGTTTTTCAATCTCAAACTGTCATAAAAAAATGGATTTTGTCTTATTTGCCTACAGTGTGAACATATGCAAAATGTTCAAACTGATCCAAAAAGAAAGTCGTGTGTTTTTTTTATTTTCTTTTAGATTGGAAAGGTGTGATGTTGGCCGGAGGAATCGCCGGCATGGCGGGCTGGACCGTCGGAACGCCCATGGACGTGATCAAAGCCCGCCTGCAGATGGACGGCGTGCGGGAGACGAAGCGCTACAAGGGTTTTCTCCACTGCGTCGCTGAGACCGTGAGAGTGGAGGGAGCTGGGGTTTTCTTCAAGAGCTTAGGCATCAACTGCCTTCGCGCCTTCCCGGTAAACATGGTGGTGTTTTTGACGTACGAGGCTCTCACGCATTTTCTTCGAACTGGACCTGAACATGTCGACCCGCCTCCTATCGTGGAATAGTGAAGACTTATCGGGTCGGATCCAGTTTTCAATGAGAACGTGTCTCCAGAGTCACCACAGAAGCTGTTACATATAATAATAATAATAATAATAATAATAATAATAATAACAAAATAAAATACAAATTAAAGGTTGAAGTAAAGTACATCAGCCAAACCTTTCATGACAGACGTTTAATTCAAAATGATCATGATTAAAACAAAATCTTTTTTAAGTTAGCACTTGTAGTATGAGTCTCAGCTACTATTACACCAAATTTTAGCTTAAAATCTGTGTAATTATCAGAAACATTGTCATTTTTTTGTGTTTGCTAAGTTAGCTGTGGTGGCCATCTTGAAAGGGTCTGACTCCAAAAGGTAATCAGTTGTACGTCCAAAGATTACTTTCTGCAGGTTTTATTAAATGTCACTTCTATGTTTTGTTGATCCAGGCTCTGTGACACACACATGCACACAAACACACAGGCAAAAAACATAATTGTCTGCCTTTACCTTGCTGAGGTGGGCAATCATTAATTAATTGCAGGGAAACTTGACCAGCAGTGATCACTGTTGTTACCAGATCTGACCACTAGAGGGCGAAACTGACCAGTTTGTTACATGCGTTTTGTGTTGCTGTCTGTTTATAATCACCATAATCTCAATCCTTTGCAGGTTGCTTGAACTTATTTGACTTTGCTAATACGATTTCAGGTCTTTGGTTGGGAAGAAGCTGCATTACGCATTTTAGCCTCCAATGGCATGCAATGTGTTTACAGAAATTTACTTTTACTGAGCGAAATGTTACAGCTGGRTAAACGGACTAAATGTTGTGTATCAGAATAGTGATGTTGGGGGAAATGCAGGTTCTGCACAGGTTGATAAAAGTTGCTACTGTTACAAGTGAGACAGGTAAATTTAAAGCTGCTGCTCTATATTCATTCATTCTCTCTTTTATAAACGTAAGCATCCTCACTTATAAACTGGTGCTGTGACTGGGTTTGGTTTCAGAGGTTTGGGTTTAAACAAAGAAGGCAGAGGTCTTAAAGCATGAAAAAATGAATGTAATCATTTGTATTTTAGTTTTACAAAAAATGAAAACGTTTGCTGTGCTGAACATTTTGGTAACAAAATCATTCATGCTTTGAGATTTTGATTTTTCTTACACATCCAAAAAATAATAAATAAAGAAAGAAATAAAAAAGAAATAAAAGCCAATTTAGGCAAATGCTTTCATGTGTTTGAAGTGATTTCCCTCTTTTCTGTATTTGGGTTTTCATACAGTATTTCTCCCTTTTTAAACTTTAACTTTTGGCATATACAGTAGATTCACTCTGCATTTCAGAGGAAAATACATTATTTCACTTTATACTCGACAGTTTATTAGGTTTTAAAATRGGTAACTTCCAAAGTTTTATATTACCACATTTTGTTAAATATTAAACCTGCATTTTTCATCCAGTTTGTTTTCTGATGTCAGAAAAAAGGCTTTGC